TAGGTCATTCTTCCCGAATGACTAAGTTATTCAAATCATTCACAGTCGATAATACGTTGGAAGTAGGTATTAAGGCAAGATTGTCATGAAATTGTCTTGTAGATGTCTAAGATGTTGGACATAGCGAGAGTTGCTACAACATTCATGAGTGCTCATAAGTTCTGAGTATTGGATTAAACCCATGCTCATTTGAATCACTTCATGGATTTTATCTCGAGTGATCATGAGATGATAATATCTTATATTCTTCAAACCTAGAAATATGAAATGTTGACTATGAGTTAGTTATACATTGATTGTACAAAAACACATTGGTAACTTGATGTTATAAAACGTGCCTTTGTGTATGATTCAACAAGTAGTAGAACAAGCATATGAGTCGAAGTTTATCCATTCCTTTTACCCTTGGAGGGATAAAAGCGATATATGTGGGCCTTCAATAATTTAGTGATGACACCCCTAAGTTCTTGGCTAAGCCTGGACTAATTTGATTTGTTCAATTAGTCAGTCGTCATAAATCGGAAATTGGGAAACAACAAATTGACAGAGAGAATGATTATAATCCATGTCTTAGTCCATATGATATCTAGAATGGAGGAATATATGATCCCTTATCTAATGGACAAGTCATTGACTAGGTCAGAGTTTGACAACAACTTTAAGAGCTACGATTGTTAGTCGGGTTTTGGAGTCATACACAATAATAGTTTTAGACTTATCCAAGTGGGAGACAGTTGGATTAGATGTCTAAGTCTATAAATATTATTGGTATGTATTCAAATCGAGAGTAGCATGGTCCATTTGGGTTGCATGTCATCGGAACAATTGGATAAACTAAATGAGAAAAAGGATACTTACAATTTATATTAATATATTATAAGTTCTAATATATTAATATGAAATCATATTATTTAATTAGTATTGATCAAGAATTAATTTAGTGATCAAAAGGAACTAATTAAATATGGACTCTATATATATATATATATATATATATATATATATATATATGGTGGGCCATGTTCATTTAGGTTGGACTAAGCTTTCATGGATAGTCCATGGAGTGTTTAACCTATGGATCCTATGGAAATGAAAGGTTATGGGTATTAGGGTTTACATGAATGTAACCCTAATCCTCCACACTATATAAAGAGGTCTTTGGTTCATGAAATGGACACTAGAGTGTGCAAGAAAACAAGAGTGAGTCAAGTTTAGCATGGACTCTTATATATATATATATATATATATATATATATATATATATATATATATATATATGTGGTGGGCCATGTTCATTTAGGTTGGGCTAAGCTTTCATGGATAGTCCATCGACTGTTTAACCCATGGATCCTATGGAAATGAAAGGTCATGGGTATTAGGGTTTACATGAATGTAACCCTAATCCTCCACACTATATAAAGATGTCTTTGGTTAATGAAATGGACACTAGAGTGTGTAAGAAAACAAGAGTGAGTCAATTTCAAGTGTGAACCTAAGTATCCTTATTCTCAAGTTATTCCAAGTTGTTTTTGGTGTTGTGTGATTCTATTTGAGCTGCAACACTTGGGGCACTAAGCTCATGAAGGTTCAAAACTTCAAGCTCCATCAAAAGGTATGTCATCTAACTAGGCTTTGTAGTATAGTTGTTTCATATTATGCTAGTTAGGATTAAATCTTGGAATATTAAATATTTACATGTATAATAGAGAAAACATAGATCCAAGGTTTATAGGTTTACATGTACACCATAGGAGTGTTAGAATGCTCAAAACCCATCAAGATGATATTTTCGATCAGTTGCAGGGGGTATCTTGGCTCTTCAAGATAGACCTGAGGTTCGGGTACCTGATGTACGATAAAATTACAGAAATGCCTTAAACGGTTTAATGTTTTGGATTATTTACATGTTTGTCACAGTGTGTTTATGTTTTTAAGCTCATTAAATGATTGGTTGATAATGGTTCCTCCATTCTCAACCTTTTTTTTTCTCTCAATTGACTCTTCATATATATATATATATATATATATATATATATATATATATATATATATATATATATATATATATATATATATATATATATATATAATCACCTATAATGGTGCTTTATTTCCTTTTACAATTGTTGACTAAACAGATATTCAAAGCCTTTAATAATTATATATATTATTACAATTGCATTGCTCTTTATTCTATTACCAATTTACAATTATATTGATATATTTTATTATAATTATATTTTATATATAATCTTAATCATGATGAGTTTCTCTCTCTCTCTCTCTCTCTATATATATATATATATATATATATATATATTATTTTAAAAGTTCAATTAGTAATGTCTGTATGTCACTTTTTTTTTCAGTTATTTTTTTCAAAATGGCAAAATTTTATGAAGGCCACAGTGTATAAAGGATTAAAGGGATGGAAGTAAGTTAATATGCGGTTCACTCCATTCATAATCCGTTGTTGACGTGATCGGTTGAATTTCATCGCTAATTAAAGTTCAACATGAAGCTCTATGGAAAGATGACAAAAAATCGTGAACAATGGTATATTCAATTTTTTTCTGATAAAAAACTTGGCTTAAAAACTTTAAACAAAAAAGAGGTGTTTTTTTTTCTATAAATATGAGTTTTATGGTATAATCCGATGTATGTATATCCAATGTATAAGTGTATATCCAATCCCTTAGCCGTTGATCGCTATAAATTTCGATGCTTACAATTGATTCATTGGTTCCTTGTTAATAATTGTTCTTTATTTCAATTCATCATATATATATATATATATATATATATATATATATATATATATATATAGAAAGAGAGAGAGAGAGATAAGTTCAATTGAAAATTTAAAAAGGTTGAAAATGGATGAATCATTATTAACCAATCATTTATTTTTGTTGTAAAGTCTTCTATCGTACAGGCAGAAAGGGGAAAGGAACACATGTGTGTTTTGAAACATAACATTTTTCCTTAAACTATGTTAATCATTACCTCAACAAATAAATAAAAACTATTTTTTTTTTAAGTTTTAAAGAACTATTTTTGTCGAAAAATGATTTTAAATATATCAAAATTTATAATTTTTTATTCTCTATAAATATATGCATGTATATTGACATATTTTTAAGATAAAATAAAAATAAATATAGTTTTAACTCTCGTTATTTATAAATAAATAAAAATATATTAGATTTTTTTTATTATAATACATTTGTTATTCATTTATGAATGAAAATATGCTTGTTTATTTTACAGTTCAAGTATTATTCATATATGAATATAATATGTAAAAAACTTTTTAATAAAAAATCATCTCTGATCAATATTTTATTCATATATGAATAAAACATATATTAGCTCTCGTCACCATTTGTATTCATATATGAATAACACGTTTATCAGAATTTTGTTACAATTAATTTGTTATTCATATATGAATAAATAGTTGAATTTTCAAAACATTTCGTCTTTTATTAACATACTCTTAGTCATATAAGAGTAAAAAATGAACTATATCAAAAAATCTGATACGTGTTTTATTCTTATACGAATACAGTATTTGGCGAGAGTTAATGAATGTTTTATTCATATATAAATATAACAACTGACAAAAGATGATGAAAAAAATATTTTAGGTAAGAAAACTTTATTACGTATTATATTCATATTTATTTGATACTTAAATTATAAAAAAAATAAATAAATTTTTTATTCATAAGTGAATAACAAATGTCCTGTAACAAAAATCTAATACACTTTTATTTACTTACGAATAAAGAGAACTAAAACTATAAAAAAATATAAAATTTTTATTTTATCTTAAAACTATATTAATATTGACATCTAGTTATAGAGAATAAAAATTATGAATTTTGATATATTTAAAATAATTTTTCAATAAAAATAGTTTCTTAAAAATTAAAATAACAAAAAAAAACTATATTTTTGTATATATTAAAGTAATGATCAGTATAATTACAAAAAACATGTTTGATTTGATAAATATATGATCAAGTGTTAAATAAATATATGACTGAGATTCATTCTCCTATGTTCACCTTTTTTTTTGTGCTGAATGGAACTCTCTCCTTTCTCTCTTTATATAACTTTTAATATATATATATATATATATATATATATATATATATATATATATATATATATATATATATATAAGTCCCGCTTGATAGTTGCTATTTGAGAAAGTACTGTCTGGTAAAGTGATGTCTGAGAAAGTTTTCTGACTAGGAAAGAAACCATACTGTTTAATTGTACATATGATTGACTATGCTGAATGATGAAAAAAAGTAATAATTCAATAGAAAATAAATTTTAAAAAAGTTATTTAAAAAAATTAATAATCCAATAAAGAAAGAGAAATGCGGAGTTTGGTGTATAATTGTCTTTCCAGCCCATTCAACCAGAAAGACATGATTCTGGGGCTTTCTGAGAAAGATATATCTTACCGGAAAAGACCTTTTATTTTGTGCAAATCAAACAGTCTTTCCGGTCCATTCAGCCAGAAAGATCTGTTTGGAACTGAAAAGATGAGTATCAAATCAAGCCTGATAAATTAGTTTTTGATGTAGCACTGAATTTCATTACCAAAGAATTGTTATTGTAGTGATGTAGATAGTAAATACAAAAGTTCATGTGAGACAATTAAAATGTTAATAGTTTTGCAATGATGTGGGATGTGGATTGTCTTAGTATAACAATATATCCTTCTAACGATTTTTTTTTTACTAAAATAAAATAAAATAAAATCGAAAATAATATTAAAAGTATCCATTTAATGCTCAAATAAATATGGGTATTAAAGTCAATGATTTGGTCTATGATTTTGGGTGAATGCAATGGTATAAAACAAATGTTATGTGAGTTAGTGAGTGTGTAGGTTTAATAAAAGAATCAAGATAACCGTGTTAAACAATCTTCGTCTCCATATCATAGCATATTTAGCGTAAGTGTGAAATCTACCATGAATGGAGTTTGGGATTATTGTCCTTGGTCTTTTCTTCTCCTACACACTTATCAGAGTCAATTTCATAGTTTTTGAGATCAGTAAACCCAAGTACCTACCTCCAGGCCCAGCCCCGCTGCCAATCATCGGAAACCTCCACTTGCTCGGCGACCACCCACACCAATCCCTAGCCAATCTAGCCAAGATCTATGGCCCAATTATGTTCCTTAAACTTGGTCGCACCACCACACTAGTCATCTCCTCCGCCGCTACTGCCAAAGAAGTCCTCCAAAAGCAAGACATTGCTTTCTCCTCCCGCCATATCCTCGACGCCTTCAACGCCCACAACCACTCCCATTACTCTGCCGTCTGGCTCCCCGTTTCCACGCAGTGGCGCACTCTACGCAAGATTCTTAACACCACCATGTTCACCAACTAGTTCCCTTGATATCAACCAACATTTACATAGAAAGAAAGTTCAAGAACTCGTGGCATACTGCAGAAAAGCCAGCATGCGCAAAGATCCGATAGACATAGGTCGAGCTGCTTTCAGAACCACCCTGAATCTCTTATCCAACATTATTTTCTCCGCTGATTTAACAGACCCGTATGAGGATTCCGGTAAAGAGTTAAAGGAGCTAGTTGGAAACATCATGTTCGAGGCCGAAAAGCCAAATTTGGTTGACTTTTCCCGGTGTTAAAGAAGATCGATCCACAAGGGATCAGGAGGAGAATGACACGTTATTTTGGGAAGATTTTTGAGACTTTTGAGGAGTTGATTGAAGAGAGGTTAGAGATGAACTAGATCCAAGCATGATGATGTATTGGACGTATGTCTGAAAATCAGTAAAGAGAATCCAGATGAGATCAGTCAAGCACACATCAAAAGTTTATTTTTGGTACGTAAATTATTTAATTTTCTTGTATTTCAAATATAGGGTCAAATGAAAAAGTGGTATATATGTAGTTTAATTGGTTGTTAAGGCATGTCTCTAAGACTCTAACCATAATCTGATTATCTTTCTCTTGGGTTTTTGCCTCGATCTAGATTTAGGTCGAATACATATGACTCCTATCTCCTGCCAAATAAACTATATTTTGTACTAATATATGAAAAAGAAAAAAAAAAACTTTTTTGTTTTTTATTTATTAATAAAATTAAAAATAAATGTCAATATTATCTAATATTTATAACATATATATAGTGTGATTGCGGAATACATGTCTATTGATTTTCTTATAACAAGAAGTGAAAGCAATAATTGCAATTTTAGATTAGTTTATTATATCATAAAATAAATGATAAAGAAAAATCTATGTATTGTAGTGAAAATTAAAACTTCAGTTTTTTTTTTTTTTTTTTTTTTTTTTTATTTTTTATTTGTTAGTTACGTGACACATTTCGGTGTATTTTTTTTTTCTGTTACATGACACATTTTTATGATTTAATCTTTCTTGAAATTTTTGGTTTGTACATTTGATCTTTCTTGAAATTTTTGTTTTCTCATTATTTTTCAATTAGTTTGATTTTATTTCAAGAAGACAAAATTACAAAAATGGTCCCTATGTTTTGTCAAAAGTAACAAACTTAGTCCCTATCTATTTTTTTTTATGTATTTGGCTATTGTGGTTTGCAAAAGTTGCATTGGAGGTCCTTTTTCATAACACTGTTAATTTTAGCCGTTTGGGGTCATTAAGTTAGGGGTATATTCGTTTTTTTACGTTTGCTTCTCCACCCCCTTTAATAAGCCCTAACCAACGTTCACAAAAATCAAGCTAGCATCTCTGAAAGATCGAAGCTCTCCTCTCTTGCAAGAATGGTGATTTGTACGTGTGGAAGTGTTGCTGTGAGAGTCACATCTTGGACGGACCTCAACCCGGGAAGGCGATTCTGGTCTTGTGCTCGAAATGGTCGAAGCTGTCCATTTCTTGGGTGGGTGGATGATCCAATGTGCCATAGAGCTGTGGAGGTGATTCCTGGCTTGCTGAGGAGAATGAACAATGTTCAAATGATGTTGATTCAAGCTCGTGCAGATGTTGTGAAGCTCAAGTGGATGCTTATTCTGTCTTGGTTCTTTTTTTTCGTTTATATACGTATGCACTAAGTAGTAGTTGGATTTGGGGATGTATTTGGTCAGTGTATTTTGGATATGTAATGTCGGATGGTGTGTAGAACTAGAATGGGATATTACCAGTTGATTTTGGGATGGGATGTCATGTATTAGAATCTTAATGTAATGTATGGTTTTAGTTAATCAGTTTAATGGCATTTTGTCTTATGTTAATTATAAAGCATTGTTTTTTTTTTTTTATTATTGATTAGGAATATTGGAATGGAATGGAAAGAGTTGTGTCCATTTATCAAAGATTGGAATGGAATAAGTTGTGTCCATTTATCAAAGATTGGAATGGAATGAGAAAAATACAAAATCAAAGCCCTATAAGTAAACAATGGAATGGAATGTGTTTTGGTCATTTATCAAACAATGGAATGGAATGAGTTTTGGACATTATCAAACAATGGAATGGAATGAGTTTTGGTCATTATTAAACAATGGAATGGAATGAGAAACACACCATATCAAAACATGATAACTGAGATCATTATAACCAGAAATGTAGCATGACATATGGCTATTATCAACTTGATTACATCACTAATTTAGGTAGTTGCAAAAAGATGTAATTATCTAGATTAAACATGTTTTAACAAAAGCATCAACACAAGTTTATAATCTTAAACAAAAGGTATCCAAATAACTTGATTAGTCATGCTTTCATTTGTATCCAACTTCACTTAGGTCCTACTTGAGGCTTTTTTTCCCTTGTCTATCTTCTTTGCTCTTAACCCACCCATGAAATCTTCACTTGATCCACCCACTGAACCTTGACTTGTTCCACTAAATGCATCTTTACTTGATCCACCCACACCACCTTGACTTGATCCACCCACTACTCTCTGACTTGACCCCCCTTGCCCCTTACATGTTCTAGAGTTATGTCCTTTGTTATGACACTTGGAACAAGTAACAGTCAAGAATTTCCTAGATAGGTTTTTTGATTGGTTACTAGCCTCATCTATAGCCCTCCTCCTCTTTTTCTTTGGCCTTCCAACCTACAAAAATATTAAGGAAATGTTAAAACTGGATGAATAATAAACTATGTTAACTAACATTCAACTTACTTGTGTGTGATGTGTAGGTGGTATAAGAGTGGTTGGACATCTAGATTTTGGCCACATGCTCCTGCCATTGATTGGATCTATTTTGTTACAGTACATTGCCCTCCATGTTTCTAGCTTATAACAAGGATGCACCCAATATTCAGGTTGTTGGGCCTTTTCACCATTTTGAATATGTTCCCATATTGCACAAACTCCATGCCTGCAGACTATCCCTGTTATCTCCCAATACCTACAACTACATGTACCCCCTTTCAAGTTGACCACATACTGATCAAACATCATACCAGTCACTTGATATTTTCTAGAACCACAAAAGAGTGCCCTATATTTGCTTGCAGCTGTTTTGATTGTGTCAAGTATGGTAGTTGCAGTGGGGGTTAATAGACTTTTGCATTTATCAATTTCTTTTTGTACAATGCAATGTCTCTTCATCAAGTACACTCTTATGTACTCCAAACATGTAATTAGAGGCTTGTCCCTTCCATGATCTAGCTTAGAGTTGAATACTTCACACAAATTGGTTAAAAGACAATCTGAATGGGCTCTACCTGAGAAATGAGACCTAGCCCAATGAACTGGAGGAATCTTACTTAGCCATTCATGAGCCTCTGCACTGAAATCTTTGAACTCATCCATTGACCTTTCAAAGTGCCTAATGGTTGTATGTGTAGCACACCTCCATAAGTGATCTCTAAACTCTTCTCCCCTCCATTGCAACTTCATGTTTTCATGTATATGTCTCAAACACCATCTATGCTCTGCATTTGGAAACACTTTTGCTATTGCAGGTATTATGCCCTACATATAATGTAAATTACAGTTAGTATTGTTACAAGCTTTAAAAGATACTTATGTTATATGTATTATACCTTTTGTCTGTCAGATACAAAAGTGAAGTTGCATGATGCATCCAAATCCAAATCATCACCAAGGCATTCTAAGAACCATGTCCATGAACTTGTTGTCTCAGTTTCCACAACTGCATATGCTAGTGGATATATTCCATTGTTGGAATCAAGACCTACAGCTGTTAGAATTTGTCGAGGGTGTGGTCCTTTCAAGAAACATCCATCCAATCCTAATAATTCCCTTTTTCCAGATTTGAACCCCAACTTAAGTGCTCCAAGACAAATGTGTATCCTCTTGAAAATACGAGTTTGAACATCAGGATTTGGTTCATTACACACTTCTAGCTTCACTGTTGTACCTGGGTTATTGGTTTGTAACTCCAAACAGTAATCTCTCAGCAAATTATATTTCCTTTCGTAGTCACCATATAGTTGTTCCTTTGCAATCGATTTTGCCCTGAACACCTTCATTCTTGATATGCTTAATTCCAAATCCATTTGAAGCTCTTTTTGTAAGGCTGTTACTGGGATGCGAGGGTTGGAATCCACTTTTTGGAGAATAGTGCTTGGAAGATATCTAGATGTACATGCCTTCACATTTCTACTTTGTAAGCATAAATGCTCATCAATAACTGTCTTCACCAACCATTGTTCCTCTTCCGTAGATCTAGATATCTGAATAGCAAAAGGACAAGAATCTTTTTGTGAAATTACAGTTTTACCCTTCGATGTGGCTTTACTTACAGTGGAGGGCCCACCATCAGTGGAATCTGGAACCACCCCTTTACACTTGACTCTTACTCTCAATTTTTCATTTTTTGCCATGTAAAGGGCCCTCCTTGTTTTTATTGAAAGCATCTTCACGTGACATTGTATATCTTTTTTGGTTTTAAAAGCTTGACCCACAAAAAATGGTGTAACATGAACTACCCCGGAAGAACAAGGCACCTTCTGGTTCAGGTTTTTTTAACATTCTCTTCCTTAGGTCTTCCTCATATCCTGCACTTTCAAACTCATCATTGTTGATCACACCTAAATCATCATCTTGATTTAAATCTAATTCTATGTTTGGACCTTGTCCAAACCATTCAACCTCATCCACACAACTGTGAAACTCTCTCATATCAACCTCCCAGTCATCTAAAATAGCTTCTGGGTCAACAATGTAGTCAGAATCATCATCTTCTTCTGTATGCTCTTCTGTATCATCTTTTGAATCCTCTGCATGCCCTTCTTCATCTTCTTCTTCTTCAGCTTCAACCTCTCTTTCAAACTCACCTATATTCTGATATCCATCACTACTAAAAGGCTCAAAATCATCTAGCATTTCCCTATGATTCTGGCAATTAATATCACCTGTAATTTCTTGCATTGTATCAGTTTCTTCTGGTATAGGGAAATACGAAT